CGACGGGGAGGAGGGGAGGAGGACGACGACGGGGAGGGGAGGAGGACGACGACGGGGAGGGGAGGACGAAGACGACGGGGAGGAGGGGAAGACGAAGACGACGGGGAGGAGGGGAGGAGGACGAAGACGGGGAGGAGGGGAGGAGGACGACGATGGGGAGGGGGAGGAGGAGAAGGAGGAGGAGGAAGAGGAGGACGAGGAGGAGGAGGGGGGGAGGAGGAAGAAGCACGTGTGTGTGTGTGTTTGTGTGTAGGAGGAGGACGACGACGACCACGATGAAGAGTGTGTGTGTGTGTGTTGTCATATTCGCTATACACTCAAAAAACGCATGTGTGTGCGTGCGTGCGTGTGTGTGTGTGTGTGTGTGTGTGTGTGTGTGTGTGTGTGTTTGTGCGTGTGTGTGTGTGTTGTCACATTTGCTATACACTCAAAAAAAGCACGACTGTGTCGGACTGTTTCATCAGACTTTCACCGACTCGTCAAGAAGTGTAAGTGTGTGTGTGTGTGTGTGTGTGAGAGAGAGATAGAGAGAGACATACCTGCCTCACATGCAGCTCGCCGCTCCACGCGCCTCTCCTCACGCTGGTCGCTGCGCTGCTCACCCCCCCACGCTTGCCTCCCCTTGCCGCGCGCGCTTCTCCACGAGTTCACCCGGCGATGGCACAGCAGAGCTGACGAAGCCTCTCCACCACGGCGCTCGACGACTGGGCAGGTGCGTTTGGAAAGCACCGGGCGCGAAACACCCCCCCTCAACGGTTAAAAAAAAAAACAAAAACAAAGTGAAGGTAACCCGCCAGGCCACTTTCCGGCCGTTCCGGTTCGTGGCCGACGACGGCAAAAGTCTGGGCGCGATTTTTTTTGGGCGGCCCAGGGCCTGAGTAAAAGCCCTGGACCGCCCAAAAAAATTTTGCCCCTTGTGCTGGGGCCCTCTAATCCGGACCAACATCCGGACCCGGACCCCGGACCCTGGACCCCGGACCACGGACGGTCCGGATCCCTCTCCGGTGGTCCGGATCGTAGCCATGGTTCATAGATCCGCTCCCCTCCTACGTGGCTAAAAGGGACGACTACCTGATGCTCGCGCTAGACTTTCCCCAGGGCCAACCTTTCTCCCTCGACGATGTCATCCCATATCAGGTTGGGGGAAAAGAGTACATGATCCATACAGCACATAAACTGAGACCGTGGTGCCATAAGTGCAAAGCATATGGTCACTTGAGCACAGAATACGCCTGTCCACTTCACCCGCAAAAAAGGACCCGGCAAACGGGGAGACTGTTGCGAGACCCGTTTAAAATGACTCATTGGAGGACAGTAGACCCGGGCCATGAAGGCTGGGTCTACATTGAAGATCGTACGAAGGAAGGTACCTCAGTGGGGTGGAAATGGGAGCGAGCTGGAGAACCGGACTGGGGAACGCGTCCCTCCAACACATGGACCCCCCCGACTCCGGTGGAGGATAAGGTACAGGAGACACAAATGACCCGTCCACAGGGGGGTGTGGACGACTCGGGCTGGAAGAGGGTGGGGAAGAAGGGAGGGAAAGGAGGGAAAGAAGCCTGGGTCCAGAAACCACAGACGGAACTCGGACCGTCGCGGGACGATACTAGTCGTTCCTACGGCACATCGGGCCCTGCTGCTGAGCAGTACATCAGGGATGAGGAACTGGTAGAAGGCACTGGGACCCATCAAAAGCAACTCACCCCTGCAGAACAGCAACAATAGAAACAACAGAACGGGTCTGAGGCTGCAAGGGGAAAGAGTGGAAAGGAAAGGACGCCAGTGATAAGAGAAGAGATCACCAACAACCCCCCCAATCAGTTGGAACAAGAGAGTGCAAGGGAACAACAAGAGAGTCAGGAGGGGGTGGGTGATCTGGAGGTGGAAGCGGGGCCGAAAGGGGAATGAAACTCGGTGCCAGAAGAGGGGACAGCAGAAGGAAACCTCCTTGGGGGACTGTCGAAAGACACTGACCCCTTCCATGCGGCCTTTGACTCAGAACCGATGGAAGTGGACCCCCTTCCGGTAAACGCCAGTACGTCACCAGAAGGCTTGGCCCCGGAAGGAAACCCAGATGGAAATGAGGAAGGGGCCCCCCCACTGCACCTGCCTACAGAACAGAAATTGGTTGCTATTTCAGATTGGCTGGTGGGGAATTTGAAAGCGAAACACGGCCCCCTTACTGACGAATTCTGGGATAAGACATACCTGGAGCTATTCTCGATGCTCGACACGAGCGCTTCACTCAAACATGTGCTGGATAATGGACTGCAACCCGGTGTGGTGTGGAAGGAAGCATGGCACAGCTTGACGACAATTGTATTTGCACGATTTCAACCGCCACACACTGCAGCAACAACAGAAGCAGAACAGGAAGGGGCCCCATCGGTGACAGAGTCTGATCACCATGAGACACAGACCCCCCAGGGGCCGAAACAACCGGACCCGCCGCCGGACCCAGATCCTCCGGACCCGGAAGAGAACGAACCTCTGGACCTGGTACGGAAAAGAAAGCTCAGACAGCTGGTAGAGATGGGTGGCGACTCTGGCCCGCTGTCACAGGAGGCTGTGTTGTTCATCCCGGTTTGGAAGAAAAATGAGAAATGGGAGGTGGGCCTGTTCCCAGATGAGAACGGTAACCAAGGGACTGTCACGTTACAAGGTTGGTCGTCCTTCTGGGCGGGGCCATAAAACAGTCATTCTAAGGCAGCAACATAAATTCTGCAAATACAATTGGAGTCTCATATTGCAGAATCCCTGTCGCCAGGGGCACAGGCCCTAGCCTCAATCACCACCGGTCTTGGTAAGATAGCGCAGAGGGGGATATCTATATCTGTTATGACCCATCCAAGGAGGCAGGCCTGAAATGGTTCTCCCGTACTCAATTACTCAATTT